ACAAGGGATTAGAAGTTAATGCAAACACCACAGTTTACTTAGCAAAAGGGGAAGAAGCCTCAATATAGAAAACAATTCTCAAAATTAAAAAAAAAGTTCTTAGAAAAAAGACCTATGCCTAGCTTCAAAAGCACACCACCAAAGGAAACCTCTGCCCTACTGACTGAATGCCACCCAGCTTGTCTGGTTTTGTTAGCTATTGTAGAACAACTTAAGGAATTACTCCCACAGGCAGTGTCAGGAGAAAGCTTTTCATATTAAACGGCCCTCGTGTCTCTCCTCGGAAGAGATTTTCTAGGGAAGGAACTGCTAATCATAATTAGGCCATCTGCCACACTACCTCAGGATCCAAGACATGAAAACCTGTCGCAGCTCTCGGTCCAAGCAACTTCGATACTATTTTTGCTGTTTCTCCAGTGCCACAGCCATGTACACCATCCTACAGACTAATAGGAGATGGCAGGTTGCTGCTCAAGGAGCTGACAGCCTGAATTAAATGTGATGCACCACACACAACAAATGAGACTGGAAAGCTTTTTTGAGAAAAGGCTACCAGAACTCAAAAAAAAAATATAAGGGAGATGCTGTCACTAGCTACCAAAGTAGCATTTTGTATAGATACGTAGTCTTAGAGCTTGCTGCTAAAGTAACCTTTTTCAGTCACAGGGAATTATCTACAGAAGTGCATTCTGGGGTCAAAGGGGAAGATAGCATTGTAAAGAACAGAAACTTAGGGGAAAAAGAAAAATAAATCAGCTGATTATGAGCAGGGAAGATATTCCAGCCAGAGCTAATGGGAATCAGGCTGTGAAAGAGATGACCAGGCAGAAGCAATTAGGGAGGATCAAGCTGTAGAGTGAAACCTCCAAGATGAACTTTGAACCTCGGGCACAGATGGTGATCACAAAGCTACAAGGCAGGGTGGGAGGCAGCCGAACTGACAGAAGCGAGAAGTCAATGCAGAAAGCAGGAGATGAAACAGTATCATACCTGAGGGGGGGGAAGAAAAAAATAGAACAGAACGGTGTCCACAGCGCAGCATATATCATCAGCACAAGGAAAACCCTAACTCCCCACCTTTCAAAGCTTCAGCTATGAAACCCAGAGGGGTTTTCAGGACTCCAGAGCTAGAGGCCTTTCTTCCAACACCTTCAAAAGACCAGACTCATCCCTGATGCAGCAGCAAACTTCCAGAGCCAAGCGCACAAAGGCCTTGCCCCGCAGGGTGAGGGGAAAGATGAGATGGTAAAATGTACCGAGGGGAGTCTGGCCAGTCCCCTGGGCCTGGCACAGCGCCCATAGCTTCTGCCCCGTGCTCAGCTGTGATCAAATGACCACAGGGAAAAACACACCTTCAAGGACTTCCAAAGCTTCCCAGGCTGCACAGAAATCTCCCGTTTTCCAGCAGTGATGTGGACTCTGGTTCTTCTCTTCTGTTTATAGCATAGAGTCGGCAACAACCTTCCCTTTCTCCTGCATAAATTCTGCTGTCTGTGGGAAGAGGCTAAAAAAAAAAAAGGCAGGCTCAAAAGAACCAGTAGTGGGTGGAGCGAGTCTGTTTTCATACAGTCTGTTGTGCAACAGCACCATCCAGCTGTCAAACAAAAAAAAGATGAAACATTAATGCCGCTATCCAGATTTGGTCCTTGTACCACAAGCAAAGTGAAAAATTACACCTATGAAACAAAACCAAGCCCACAAGTCTCTTCCCTGCTTCTGAATTAGTTATACTGGTCCATTGTGATGTGTTTCCTGTGTCAGTACACGGCAGTGTGCTTCAGCAAAACTAAGAATTCAGCCCAGTTTATTTCTGCCCAGGAAGACTCACAGGCTACAGCTGACCTCAGTGTTTCAGTGGAGTATAAGCTCTCAGGTATAAGGAAAAGACCATTATCTTCGGCTCATAACCAAAAATGGTTAATCACACTACAAAAATGGAAAAACCTCAACCATTTCATATAAAAGAGCCGATGTTTTAGTGATCATAGCTTACCGCTCCCAAGCTTCAGTAGTGAAAGCAAGAAGGGCAACATCCAGTGACAGGGAAAAACGACGAAAACACAGACTAAACTAATGGATTACTCTTGAGAGGCATTATGACATGAGGAAGAAAACTTCCTGCTTTCCAAGACTTCTCATAAAGCCGCATTCTTTAACTACGAGGCATATGTAACAGCAATAAATGAATAAATGCCATTCCCTACAACGGACAACCAGTGGCGTGAATTAAATCCACAAGGTCACTGCTTAAACTGCCCTCAGTTCTTCACTAAACTCAGTTTTGTCGTAACACCCACAGGGAGCTTACCATGTGTGTCCGCTGATGATCAAGAAGTCTAATATTAGAACAGCGTTCTTGCATTACGCGTGCCTCCGCCTGTCCTGTGATCCCACGTTCTTGCATTGTTTGACACTTGCAAGCAGGGAACGCACCTCCTTTTCTGACGTCCAGTGCTAGCTCTTTACACGCACTCTACAACGCAGTACAGGGTAGCTATTGAAGTCTAAAGAGAAGGCAATCATCCTTTAAAGAAAGTGAAAACGAGTGGAAACTTTCCAAGCAAATACTGGCAGGAAAGAGGGAAACGCAACAGTTAACCCAAGAGAAAGGGCATGTAAGGAAAACCTACAATAAACGAGGTGACTTTAAGGAACCTGAGCTTATACGAGGAAGAATCAGCGCTATCACATCAAGAGGAGACGCTGTTTTTCTTGCACAGAACCCCAACACACAGTAGATGTATGCCCAGCACGAGAGCCCAGCAACAGGAAAACAGCAAGCACGAGAATAGTAGCTAAAGCCACAGGAGCAAAGAACGTGCCCAAAGATACAGCAGAGGTGCCAAATGACAAACCTGTGCCAAGTGGGAGAGAAGGTGCCCTTTGACAAGCACGGCAGCAAAACCAGAAGAGCCCAGAGACGGAGCCCTAAGGAACAGGGGACAACCAGCTCCGCAAGAACTGGAGACGAACAAGGACATCAAAGAGAGGCAGGGCCAGTGAGGGAGCGTTAGCCAAGCCTGACTAGCGAAAGCAAGGAGATCCCCCTCGCTAAGGCAGAGAGAACACAGAACGTAAGACCTCCAAAAGGCGCTGTATTCAAAAGTCATTGCAGGAACACACATCATTGGATCAGACAGAACAAAGCTACTAGGAAAAAAATAAAAGTTGGAATGTGAATAGATCAAAACACTCCAATCCATAAAAAAGAATTGGTGCAAATGGGCAAAAAAGGGAAGACTGGTATGTAGGAAGGTTTTGGAAGAAGGTGGCAAGGAGGTGGAGGGCAAGAAAGAGCCTTTCAATCTATAATCATAGAATCAGAGTGGTTTGGGTTGGAAGGGACCTTAAAGCTCACCCAGTGCCACCCCCCTGCCATGGGCAGGGACACCTTCCACCAGACCAGGTTGCTCCCAGCCCCATCCAGCCTGGCCTTGAGCACTGCCAGGGAGGGGAAACCCAAGTGGGAAACTTCAAAGCTTCTTCTTCAATTAAAGTTTCTTCCCTGTTCCACACACACAAAGTGTCAACAAAGTTTGAATTTTAAGTGCAAAGAAAGAAATTCAAAATAAACAATCTGATGACAATTGAAGTCTATTTCCCTCACCAGGAACTGACTAGAGAACTTGTGACACAGCTTGGAGGCTGCACAGCTACGCTCAGAGAACTGCATACTCCCAAGGCACAGTTACACACTCATTCCTACACAGAAAGGGGATGGTCAAGAACTCGGGTGTATGAGAACAGATAGAAAAGAGGAGGAAGAGCAGATCAGTTAGCTACCAGTCAGGTCAAACAACAGGGGGGGAAGAGAGAAACAGCATAAAGATCCCAATAAGCACAGATAAACCTCCAGTGGAAAGAAACAAGACAGGCGAGACAGGAAGCTGTGAAGCCTTTCCAAAACAGTCTGAACAGAGAGACACCACTTCCACCCCATCCTCCATGAGGTCAGCCAGAGTTCTGCCAACTTGATCGCAGTAAGTCCTAAAGGATCTCACATGGAACTTGAGCTCACAACAGCGGTTCTTCTGTTTTACCACAGGGTGCAAGCTCTTAAGTCAGGACACCAGAAGGCACTAGAGGTAAGAAAACAGTGCTCCCACTAGACAGCAACGGGTTTACACTTACTAGTTGTTCAGTTTAGCTAAGGAATCAAGACAGAGTACCTGTTCACACTGAGCTTTGCAGTCTTGTGTGAGTAAGCATTTCCAACAACAGGGCTTCAGCTGTCCAGAGTCTTAGACAGACGTTCTATAGTTAAACCTGCCATGTCACTCGGAGGATATGCTGACATGTCAATGAGCCCCCCCCGCCAGCGAAGATCTGTTTACCACCCACAGAAGGTACTATTCAGTTCCGACCCGAAGAGTTCAGTTCTGTCTTCATCAACCTCTCTGACCTTGTAACAAGCAAAGCTTGCGGATCAGATTTATTGCAAGTTCTGCTGTCGCCCAGGAGTGCGGCAGCAGACCGGACAAGCTTCTTGGATCTGGGGTTCTAGTTTACAAACAGTCTTAGTCGAACCAGGGACATAGAATCCAACTCATGTGAAAAGAGTGATAAGATCACACGCGCTAAATCCGTACTATCAGGCAGAACAGCTGGATAGAAGAAAGCCATTGCACATACCAGTCTCTCAACCTGCTGCATCCTTAGAACTACACTGCAACACTCACCAGCCCCTTTTCAAAACAGACTTTGTGAGTCCCGTTAATTTTGTATGTAGCATTTCACAGCAAGTTAGCTTCTATGTACAAAGTGTCTAGACATAAGTTGTGTTGATACCCATGTCTTCCAGTGAGAGGCCAAGTTCCCATGACAGGGAGTACACATAAAACCAGGAAGTTCTATCCTAGAAAGTTCACACATTTCAAAATTTAAGACCTTATTTTAATCCAAGATACGGCAACCGTAAAGTCCAGTTCATAAAAAGGAAACTTGCTACTGGTCAGTTTTCATATGCACAGTCAAAATAGTCAATCACTGCAAGTTTCTAGTCAGTAGGGCTTCTCCATGGATTCCAATATCTTCCTTCTCTCTTCTGCTGAGGGCATCTCTGGTTTCACACCATTTCTTTTCCTTTGCATCATGATGTCATGCTGAAAATAGAAGAAAGTGACCATGAGAACACAGATCTCTCAGAAGTCTCTGCTTTGGGCTGCGAATGAATAAGACTCTTTAATAGAAGTACTCTTGAGATATCAAGACCCAGATACTCCAAGTCTGATTAGCTGATAACTAAATGCACCAGTGTTTAATTAAAGATATCCGATAGTTTACCTTGCTGCTTCAGAAGACAGTGAAACTACAGCACTCCCTGTACGTCAGACTAACGTGCAACTGCCTGTAAATAGTTTTTTGTAGTTTGCGCAAGTGTTCAAAGGCGAAGCTGAAAGACTCTTTACTACCATAAAGAAAGAAAACAGCAGAGAGCAGTTCAGCTGCACACAGCTCCTCGTGACACTTCTCTACCACAGGAGAGAAGGAAATAAGGACACCAACAAATAAGAACTGGCTCTTCCCAAGCTTTATCTTGGGTTAAAGTAAATATGACCCAAAACAATGGGAGAAACAGATGAGCTTACCTTACCTCAGCATTTTTTTTCTCATTATATCCATTTAACAGGACTTATAACTAGAAATACCTTACTCAAATTCAGAGGGAAACATATCCAGTACTGCAAGAACACTGACTCACAATCCGAGAGGGTAAACTTAGGAGTACTTTAATGTGTATCTGCTTAAGTCTTCCAGCAACACACACCGAGACTACCTAGGGCTGCAGGTCACCGTAAGAACAGTCGCAGCCGGCACTAGCCAGGTCTGAAGAGTTCAGAAAGCAGTGTGTCAGAAGTAATGTCCTTAAAGCAAAGAGTGGAGTAAAATTTAGAAAGTCTACCGTGCTTACCCAGAATTTTCTGCAGCTTTTGTACTTCAAAAAATAAGCAGTACACATATCCTTGTTATAGTTGTTGTCATCCATACATTTTCTCGAGGCATCTGTTTCCTTTAACAGGGAAAACATACTTCAGAGCTGAGGGAAGCTACTGTACTCAGTGTCTAAAACTTCTAACAAGTCCCAGAATATCTATAAAGATAGAAGGCAGCTTCTCAGATGAAAGAATACTATCAGAGAGAGCAGAGGAACATCTATCACAAAGGATAATCAGTAATTCCAAGCAATGACTTCATTTAGAGATAACAGACATCAGTACTCTTTAAATAGTACAGACAGTCCATAGAACAGTTTTTCACAAAGATGTTTGGTATAACCTCCAGAAGACTTCTAAAAAAAACCCAAGCTTGTCCAACCAGGATTTCAGGCTCTGGGTTTTGGGACAGAAAACCGAAGAGATTGCCATCAGCTGCATTACTCCTATTTTTGAGGAATTACTTGTTATTTCACACTTACTATAATGGATGACTTTCAGCTTTTCCCATCTTCAGACTCTAAGAAACTTTTCATGCTGAATGCCAATGCTATCCATAACAAAATCCTCTAGAAGTTGCATTATTTAACACTGAAGTATACAAACAGAAATCCCAATTTGATCATCTTACCGCTATACATGGATTTCTATCATGGTCTCTAAGCTGTTGTGCTCGCCTGGACATTCTAGACAGACACTCGGACCTTGGCTAGAAACAGAAAGAAACAGGTTAAGTATCTATGTTTAACAGTAACTCAGGATTAAGTCTGAACTTCAGCATGAAATAAAGACCTTCCAGTAATGCACACAGTTTGGTTGTCTAAAAAAAAAAAACCCAAAACCAAACCACCACCACTAAGCATCTTCTGCAAAATGTCACTTCAAAAGCACCAACAGCAAGACAACTTGGGCAAGTTGAGCCTGTCACCGAGGCTGCCGACTCCCCCATACCCTCCTGCAGAGAACGGAGCCAGCCTGGCACATCACGGGGGAAGTGACCATGTCTGGGAGAAACGGCTCCACGGAAGCTGTGCACAGCCAACACACTGGAGCCACTTCAATTAACGGTGCGGGGGAGCAAGGCACAGGGAAACTTCTCCAGGTCTGGAGTCACACCTGTACCTACCCTGAGCCTCCCCAGCAGAGAGCCCAACCACCTCCTGCGCTGCTGGATCAGATACTGAACAGAGAAAGACACGGTTTCACTGCAAGGAGGGACCAGACCCACTTACGCCATGTATGGCAGCTGGAATTGGGTTTTTCCCCTGTTTCATAGTTTGACACCGACTCCAGGCACCATAAGCTCCAGCAACATGGAGCTCAGTGCCAAGAGCCTGATGATCCAAGATGATGACATCAAGACGAACAGCAGACCCTCATTCCCTTTACAACTTCCCATACATTGTCGCTGGCATGCATGTGGCCAGGCAGGTATTTGTTCCAAACAAATACTAAATCTAACCAAAAAATCGATGGATGTTGACTCAGATGACTGAGCCAATACAAGCAGAAACACAGGACTGAGGAAGACAGAGCTCTTTGCAGCAAACTAAGCCACAGCTGATGAGGGAAACTGTAGAAGAAGCATCCTTCCTTGATCTCTTTTTCGCCCTTAAACACAGCTAATTCAAACCTGAACCTGTTCCTGTTCACATTAGAGATCAGTACCTCCAAGTCTGCAGTAAAAAGCCAGTTTTGCTTGATAGCAGCAAACAAACAAAAAAAATCAAACATTGCTCTTAGTAGCTCATAGACAGAAAACAATGTTTTAGATGCAAGTTCTTCTTAGAGTAAATTATTCCAGGTGAATAAGCCCTAGAATTCACATCCTGTGCAAGTACATTCTCCTGGCGCTTGGAGTATTTTTTGCATTCCACATGACTATTTTCTGCAAATGGGCCTTTTAAAAAGCAGCACCAGGAAGCCATTCCCCACTTTCCTTTGAGAACTACCCAGTGTTTAAACATTCGCTTTTTTTGTGGGTGCAAGAGGATTTTTTGATCAGGCACTGCCACCTCCAAGGGAAACACAAGTATGTGGAACAGCAGCATCACCCCACACTTCAAGGAAGGGGAGAGAAGAAAACAAGAGCAGCACCATCACATGCCTTATCTCAAGACACAAGTTTTTCAGAGGTTTGTTTATGTCTGCGTTTCACTGAGCTTAGAGGTGCAAGTACCACCCAAGCAGACATGCCTCAAGGTGTACGGTACTAGGTCGATTCCAGTCTCACTCTCTGAAAGAGTATTCCTGAGTCGCAGGATCTGTCATCACCAGCATTCATTATACAAGCTGCAATTAACATTTTCAGTTTGATTACACTAGCAGAGTCTACAGCCATGCCCAGTTTAAGGAACAAAGCACACAATACATTAAATACCTACTTAATGAACAGGCAGCTCAGGTTCTCAGGAAGCTGCTTCAGAGCAGGCGAACGCCTGCACACGCTGAGCACCACCAGAAAGGTCCGACAGCTCCTGCACATGTTCCTCTGTCCCCCTTCCCGAAGCACTTCAGGATCCGAAACACGATCAGCTGGAAGGGCAGGCGGGTCACGCCGGAAGCCTGCCGTTGGGCGGGAAGCGAGCTTTGCCCCCAGCTCCTGCACAGGCTTCACATCACAGGTCTGAGCCCAACCACAACCAAAGGCTTGTCTATCCCACAGCTCTTAATTATGCTTTAACACATTAACAGTTGTAAACTGTACCACAGAGAAACACGTTTGTTGCTAGCACTCTTTAACCCTAGGGCTTTTCCAGTTCATAAACCATCAGGATATTTTTCTACTGGCTCCCTCCCATTGAAAGCGGCTCGGTTTTGTGTTGTTTGTTGTGTTTTTTTTTTTT